CTGAGACTTGTTATAGCACTTGTATATCATTGCTCTTTTGTTGATTTTGATTGCTTCCATTATCTTCATTTGTAAGTCGCTTTGGATAAAAGCGTCTGCTAAATGACTAAATGTAAATGCCAGAGTATAATAAAACAGACATGAAAATAGTGAAATAGTGCCATTTTATGTATTAATGTATTCATTTATTTATTAGTAGGTACCTAATAATATTACACGTTTAATAGAATTTTTGCGTTTACATTGCACTACAAATGCAAAACATTACAGCATTGTTTAAAGGTATGTATTAACAGAAAACACAATGATGAAGTAGACTATGTATATATGGAACAGGCCTATGTGGAACTTATACAGTATATCACTTCCACCTAGTTGTAAATCTATAGTTTCCTCTAAAAACCCTCTTTGTGTCAATTCAAAACATATTTGTAAATAAACAATTCAATTAATGAAAAAGTTTCCTTGTTATTACTACATACGTAACCAATATATTTCACACATTATTTCACATTCAAATTAATTATTACATATTTTATTATTTCGAATTCAAATTAAATGTTGTTGATATACAGTTTATCAGCTACTGTCAATGTGTCAATGAAGATGAAAAAACTCGCTGGTGGATAATGCACAGTTTACTGGTGAGAATTAGGTCAAACACGAAGACCAAGATCTCGCGAGATTTTGCACGTCTGCTTCTCAGGCAGTCCGTGAGCGGAGTCAGTCAATGTGGGACGGAGTTTTGCCTGTTTGTTAGCGGAGTAGGAGGGAGAACGAGCCGTTGACTTGACACAGGGCTTGCGTGAAATCAGTTCGGAGAGCAAGAAAGCCAAGAATGGCGTCGGGTGAGACACTGTACATCGAAGCAGACGGCTCGGAGATACCGGCGGAGATCGTCGAGCTGCACGAAATCGAAGTTGAGACCATCGAGACAACCGTGGTCGGCGGAGACGACGACGACGACGAACACCAGCCGATGATCGCGCTGCAGCCGCTGGTCACAGACGATCCGAACCACGTTAACCATCAGGAGGTGATTCTGGTCCAAACTCGCGAGGAGGTCGTGGGCTGCGACGATTCGGACCTCCACGCAGACGACAGCTTCGAGGACCAGATCCTCATCCCCGTCCCTGTGGCAGAGGAGGAATATATCGAGCAGACTTTAGTGACCGTGTCTGGCAAGAACCCGTCAGGAAGGATGAAGAAAGGGGGAGGCAGCGGGAAAAGAGTGGTCAAAAAGAGCTTCCTAAACTCCGCCGAGGCGAGCGGACGCAAATGGGAGCAGAAGCAAGTGCAGATCAAAACACTGGAGGGGGAGTTTTCCGTCACTATGTGGTCATCGGGTAAGTTTTGACTCGCATCAAGTGCTTTGTTCTCGCGCAGGCCTCGCGTGGGCCCTCTTCCTCTCGAGCGTGTTATAAAGCTGCCGGATAGCCCAGTGTCAGAAACGATTTTCGTACCCGAAAAGCCACTTATGAGGGTGGCCCCGGTCTAAATGTTTTTGTTTTGATGGGAAGCCATGTTTTAAGTGTGGATGGGCGCCGCCATATTCCTCCAGACCATTATGGCGGCGGCCCCGAAACATGGCGGTTCTGTGAGCGGGGAAAGATGGCGGCGGGAGCGGAGAGAGGCGCTGTGAGTCCGCCGCGCTGCTGCAGGCCGCAATGGCGCAGCTCCGTTTGAAGAAGGGGAGGGACCTAGTCACACGATCTGCTGCTTGCCTGCAAACTGTCTGTCTTACGGCGCTTCAGTCCCTCAATAAACAAATGTTACCGCGTATTTAAATCCTCTTAACTGGGAAATTCAGATACATCTAGCAGATTCCTGTGCCGTGCATGGGGCGATGTTTCCCAGTTTAGTTTTAAAGCAAATGCATTTTACGTAGGGATACTATTAGTGCTTAACGTATTGCGCATTTTTATATTAATACATATTCAAATGTTTATAGTGGACGGCGAAAATACTTCATTTTCTTTGGGAAAATACAGAAATATCTATTAGCAGCTTTTGCGATCTTGAAATCTCGGCGTTTAATGGGAGTGTACATTCAGAAAGATGTCGTTCACTTTTAACTATTTGATAAAAGTTGTATTGTTTAAGACGTTGTAAACCAACATTAATAAGGGGCTGAATATTTTAAATGCTGAAACATACAAATGTTTAAACTATGCCGCAGCCTAGCGGCGTATGTTGTAAAACATACGGATATTGTAAAATATATTGTAATATTAGTTATTGATGTTTTTATGGGTGTTGTGTATTATTTCTTAAATTCTCCGCTTTCATTTTAAGTGAGTCTGGCCTGTAATCACCAAAAATGTGTGCCATTACTTGATAAATAAAGTACATGAACATGTAGTGCAGGTTGAAACCTTGTTTATATGTTTACGAGAATGTGCGCCGTGAACTACTACAGACTGCGCATGCGCTTCAGAGGATTTTTTTTTTTGTGGAACGCTCACATAATACATAATGCAAAAAACAAGAAACGCGCATTCATTGCATTTTTGATGCCGAATACTTGACTGGAATTTAATTTGCACCACAATCGCGCCAGACTAGTGTGTGTGTGTGTGTGTGTGTATTAATGCTTATGCATTGCTTCTCTGAGACAATGAATATAATTGTTTTATTAAGATGAATCACTTATGACTAGGGCGTTGCTTCAGTCATCAGTTCATTTACGTTTTGTTTGCTTTATTTGTCCTTCTAACGTTAAGCTCTTTGTAAAATACAGGGTGTGTGATTTGATTTAGTACTTTGTTAAACGTTTAATCTTGTGTTTTGTACAGATAAGAAAGATGTTGATCATGAGACTGAGGTTGAGGAGCACATTATTGGAGAAAACTCTCCTCCTGACTACTCCGAGTATATGACAGGCAAGAAACTGCCCCCTGGTGGTATACCTGGTATTGACCTGTCAGACCCCAAACAGCTGGCGGAGTTTGCCAGGTGGGTATTCAGCCAAAAGCTTGAAACTTTATTACAGCATTTATTGATTCTTTGGCATAGAGTTTTATAGTAGGCTGTAAGCCTGAGATTTAATGCAGATTTTAAACTCCACTGGTCCAAGGAAATAAAATGATCCATTTATTTATTGTGCAGTATATTTGAAAAAACATTAGGAAAAAAAAAAAAGATTTGAAACTTGTCAAACCTATGGACATACATGTATATAGGTGGTTTACAAATCAAAGCCATTTAGTATTTTTCTTTATTCAAAAGCAATGAATTTTATTTGCTTCATGTATTTTATTAATTATTTAACTTGTAGAATTAAGCATGCATACAAATGTCTTTCACAATACAGAATGAAGCCCAGGAAAATAAAGGAGGACGACTCTCCAAGGACGATAGCATGCCCTCACAAAGTGAGTTTTTTATCGTTCATGATAATTCTGTAAAATTTCTGTAGTAGAACTGCTGATTTAGGATATTGTTCGTCAACTTAAAGATTTTAACAAATTAATCCAGTCACCTTCATTTTTTAAATGTAATTTATTATCAGGATTTTTAACATTTTAGTTGTTGTGTGTTATCATAGGGTTGCACAAAAATGTTTCGGGACAACTCCGCTATGAGAAAGCACTTGCACACCCATGGGCCACGGGTTCATGTCTGCGCTGAATGTGGAAAGGCGTTTGTGGAAAGTTCCAAGCTAAAACGGCATCAGTTGGTTCATACTGGTGAAAAACCTTTCCAGGTATTTTTTTTCCCCCCTTTATATTAATGTTCTAAAAAGTTTAATGATGCTGTTCAATTTTAGAAAACTGAAATATGTTAAATATAAATAATAAATGTGCTTTTTAATCTTTTCCTCCCCAGTGTACATTTGAGGGATGTGGAAAGCGGTTTTCATTGGACTTTAACTTGCGCACACACGTGCGGATTCACACTGGAGACAGACCTTACGTTTGCCCGTTCGATGGCTGCAACAAGAAATTCGCTCAGTCCACCAACCTGAAGTCTCACATTTTGACACACGCGAAAGCTAAAAACAATCCTTGAGATCGCTCGCTGAAGAAAGAGCCCTTAAAGACTCTGTCTGACCACAGCTTCCTGCTCCAAAACCCACTTTGTATGTCGTTTCTAGAACCATTCTTTTCTAAGAGAATCTCAGTGCACATTTTGATGGGAATTGAAATGTGAATGAGGACCTGACACCAAACTATCCCGTCAACCTTCTCACGGTATAGACCCGAGTTAAATAACTTCCCGAGTTATGAGAGTTTCTTCTTTTGAAGATGTGATTGTTTTTGTGGACCCTCATTCGCATACAAGATGGTCATTAACCTGAGCCCAAAGAAGCAAATTGCCCATCGGTGTGTCTGTTTCTACCAGTTTGCAAAGACAAAGACTGCTTTTTAGATGTCTTCAAAGTGTGCATATTGTACACTTTTTAGAGCGTAGAGCTGTCATAATGTGTGTGTGTGTGTGTGTGTGTGTGCGCGTGTGTCCCTGAGACTTAAAACCTGTGAATGCTTTTCTTCAAGGAGAATGAGATGCCGTTCAGCTATTTTCAATGTAAATACAGCTTTTCTTTGTGAGGTATCCTGCGCAGGTATCTCATTTTGTATACCTGTCCTGTACAAATGTTTTGAAATCATGTAGATAATAGAGATGTTGATTAGATTGTGTGTAACCAATTAAAACCGTTTTATCCAGCTTCAGGAAATACTGCTACATATACATGCCTTCTTTTGTAACACAGTAAACAGTCTACTCAGTATGTGAAAAGACACTTTTCCTTCAAATTCTCTAATTTATTTAATGATATGGAATAAAGCTAAACTCCCCTGTGCCGTTCCCAAGAGCCTGAAGTTCATCATGCTGTTCAGTATGCTGAATGTCCTCTAGCCATTGATTTTAAAAAGCAAGAATTTGTGAAACTAAACCTTATGATATGGTCTGGTTAAAGGTAAAATTGTCACATAAAAAGTCATGTTTTCTGTAGTAGACAATGGTAGCAAACGGCAGTGAGCCTAAAAATCTCTAGTTTAATCCAACAAATAATTTGGTGTTATAACAACAAATAAGCGCTTGGAAGTATTGCAATTTCATATGCTATTTTAAAATATCTCCACTGACACACTGCATTACTTACAGTTAATAATTTTGTTAATAGCATCCTAACTTGGCATATGCACAACATTTAGTTATGTTGTAAATTACACAATTCTCGCTGTTTAAAATATGTAGTTTTTTTGAAAAGGTCCTATTGGAGATTGCGTTTGCTGACACAACCTCATGTGTTCTTATATATCAAGACTTGCAGTGTTTTTAGAAACTAGTTATCCTTGCATAACCCTAAAATATATTGAACTATATTAATCTGAGCTTTTATCTCATGTACATCCTATATCTGACTTAAGTCTGCATTTATATAATGTAAAAAAAAAAAAAAACATTTAAATTATTTAAACTTTTCTCTCATGTATGTTTTGTGAGCCGATTTAAACTGAATTGATCCATGCACCAATACCACATGCTTATTTGCTATTGTAAATGCATAAATATGTTCTGCCAACTCCAAATTACAGTTCAACAAATTACAATTCCTTCTCAAAAACATATTCTTTTGTATGTTTCTGGATTATATTAAAAATAATTAAATCCAAAACTAAGCACACAAATGCATTTATTTCAAAGTAAAAACTTTAATTCGTATTTTTCAAGCAAAGAAATGAGACATAAGTCTTCAAAATATCCTATAAAGGCAATGCATCTTTAAAAAAAAAAAACAAGTTGGACCAGTTGCTCAAACAACATTCAGTGCACCAAACGTCTAGTAGAAAAACATTCTCAATCTTACCAACGACCCAGTAGTTCCAGAACAACAAATCCATTCAATATTTAATTCCCTGAGGATCTCTTCACAAAGTCTGTTAAATCAACCCATTAAAAATGTAAAAAAACAGGCCATTGGTTTATGCAGTTCTCAAGTATGTTCAATAATTAGGCTGGTTTCATTAAATGCTACATTTGAACCTTGGAACAACCTAATGTTTATGAATAAAGGATCTATTTGAATTGTTTTAAAATTAACTGAAATGTATTATTAGGGAATATTGCACTTCTCTTGAAAAATCAATTAAATTGATAGATTTTCTATGTCACACGGTTTTGTTTAAACCAAAGAAGCTTGCAAAACATACAGTTGTGGTCTACACCTGGAAACCTCTGATCCTTTACTCTGGGACAAATCAACCTCATCTGAAAGAACTGAAGTGGTATGATCTGTTGGACAGAGAGAAGAACTGTGGGAGGGTAAATCAACTAGTCATCAAAGGTTCAGTTTACAATGAAAGAACATTCTTTTTTGAAAATGATTCTTAGATGATCGACAGCTATATGTTGATATGATTACACAATGCATCGTCATTTAGATGCTTCAACAAACATGAAAACCAATACATTTCTAAAAAAAAAAAAAAATGTGCAAAGGGTGGATATTTCTTTTGCAATCTGACTAAACGAGCAGCAGCTCAATCCATAAGAGCTTTTAGAAGAGCAGGATAATTTGGTGTTCCCCATCCCGTTACTGGATCCCATGAAGGGGAGGCACAGAAACCCTTCCCTTCAACTTTATCATCCAGACAACTCAGGTGACATCCCTCTGTTACCTAAGGGTAGGAGGAGAAAACGCTGTTAAATCAATTTGCTAGGCGTCTATGGTTACATGAACAGATAAAGTAAAGGTTTTAACTGTCACACTTAAGCTGTTACACAAGCTCAATTTCACACATAGCTGCTTTCTGAAATGTGAGTGCGCTGCATGTAGTTGCCACAAGGGACACTACAGCGAGTATTTCCATATGCTGCCTTTTATGATCATTTCATACATGGAATTCTTTTAGGACAGTAGCATTATAATTTGAAACATCATTACGCTGACATTTTAAATATGGATTTTGTAGACATAGTAGTTCTGAACACAGGGAAAAGGCTAAAAGAGAGGCTAATGTTAAATATTTTTTTAAACACTTACATCATAAAGACCTTTGCCTTGCAGTTTGTAAAGGCGAGGGTTGATGAATCCTAATGAGGGAAGACCCTTCAGAAAGCGCTGGTCATTTATGAGGGACAGCATTCCACCCACTACTGGAGTTGATGCCTTGGAAAAACATTCGGTTTATGAAATATCAGACTTTAATGGGTAATGTATTGTAACCTAATCTGTACTTTCAATTGTTACTAAAATGGTAAATGTACATTGTTTTTGCATTTTCTACCTTACAGATGCTTGGGGTCAGTAAGATTTTTTTTTAATGTTTTTGAAATAAGTCTCTTATGCTCAATAAGATTTGCATTTATTTGATAAAAAATACAGTGAAATATTACAATTTAATAACTTAATTTCATCCGAAATTATTTCTTATTAATAATGTTGAAAACAGTTTTGCGGCTTATTTTTCTAGAAACTGTGATAAAAAAATGTTTTTCAAGATTCTTCAATGAATGTAAAGTAATATACTGTAAGTAATATATTGTAATATAAGTGCACTAGCAAACAAAAACCCATTGTCTTTGTATTATTTACTAACCGAAGTTCCAGAAACCCATGGTACGGGTACAAGGTTGGTAACAACCCAGTAGTTGTCAGAGAGCGCAGCTAAATCTGGATAGGCTCTTCCAGTGATGTTGAAATATGTTTGAGGAGGTAGAGGCTGAACACTCTTCAGATATGCTTGAACAGCACCAACCTACAGAGAACAGAACACAATAGCCTTGTTTGTCAGAAATAAGCAAATAGATAAAGACACTGTCACTGAAAAACTGACTTCAGCTGCTGAATTTCAAGGCCTTTGCTTCCAAAAGTACAGTATGCAAAAGATCTGCATGTATGGAATGACCTACATTTACACAATCTCACATAGCAAACACTTTCTCTTTCCATTGTGATGTGAAAAAAGCAGCGAAAAAGAAAAAAAATCATGATCATGAGGTCATGTGACAAAGAGCTGTTTAAAACAGAAGATAGTGCTGATTTCAGCTACTTAAATAGACTCTAGGGACATTCTGCACGGTTATCATTAAGCAGCAAGATAGTATTCAAAACACAGCAAAGGATGCAGACTCATGGAGCTTTACCTGATAATCTGGCATTGCAAACACATTACTGAAGCCACCTCCACTGATGTAGTCTGTGACCTCATAGGTGAGTTTGAAGGAGTTCTTGAAAGAAGTCCCACCCACCGTGGTCACATAGGGACTAGATAGGGAAGAGATTCATTTCACACATGAACTATTTTTCATTATAAAAGGTATCATTATACAGATTATTTAGAGAGCAACAACTACCTGGATGCAGGAAAACTCGGCCTAAACGTATTTCTTTCCTTGGTTAAGTGTCTACAGCCTGCTCCACTGTCACCTGCATTAAAAACACACACACACACACACAGAGCTATTGAATGAGTGTGGCTTTCTTTGAGATCTTAGACCAAAAGAAGAAAAAAATGAATAAAGAACTAGTATATGCAACCAGCATTTCTAAATAAAATGCACAAAAGAAAAAGTTTTTGTTCCTGCAACATGGTTTTCGTTATCTTACCAGAAGCAAAAAGCATGGAAATCCCTCTGAGGCCACCTTTCATGAACTCGGTGTTGATGCGGTTCATATAGGCATCAGAAAGGCTGTCCTCATCATCTCCATAGCTGATAGTGTGGACCCAAGGCACTGCAGACATGTTGCTGAGCAGCACCATCCACTGAAGGAACGGCTCCTGAGACTCATGACGACCTGTTACCAAGACCAAGGGAAAGTTGGTAACCTTTACAATGCATGAAGTAAAAGAACCTATTTGGAAAAAGACCCAACTGATGCACTAAAATCAGGTCATTTGAGAAGATCAATACTGAATTTGCAAAAAACAGTAGACACGATCCTTAATGGAATCGTTCACCCATAAATAAAAATTTGCTGAAATTGACTCACCCTCAGCCCATCCAAGATGTAGAGGAGTTTGAGATTTGGAGAAGCTTCACTACAGTAAGTGTTATTATGGATTATGGACTCATATTTTGGCCAGAAGCAACAGTTTAATGGTAAATGGCTTTAATGATGGATTTGTTTCTTACAAACACTTCAAAAGAAGTGGACTGGTGTTGTGTGGATTACTTGTGGATTATTGTGATGTTATTATCAGCCATTTGAACTCTCATTCTGATGGCACCCATTCACTGCAGAGGATCCATTTGTGAATAAGTGATGTTATGCTAAATTTCACCAAATCAGATGAAGAAACAAACTCATCTACATCTAGGATGCAACAGCAAACTTAACTAAGGCAAATTATGTCCATGAATCAAAGTTATTATAGTTTGAGAGAAATATTGTTCTGGCAACTAGCTGAAATAAAATAAATTCAACTTAATGCACTAAAACCGAAATAAAAATGTATAAAAACTATACAGACAAATAAGAAATAATAATAAAAATGACTGTACTAACATAATGTTTCCATGGACCACATACCTGGATTTGTGAAGACCCATGTAGAAATGTTTGCTCCACTGCTCATGATGTACTCCACATCCAGACTGGCCTCAATGCCAGCTTTCCCACCGCCCTGAGTGCCCACGACCCGCTCTACAGCAGACATGTGTGTGAATCCTCCAGCAAACAGACTCATAAACTCAGCCAAGTCAGCAGGGTGGTAGTACTGCTCCAAGAACTACTTAGTGAGGATATTTACACTTCAGAATTCTGCTCATATGATTAAACTAATGGATTTAATCAGTGAAATGTACACAGTAAATATGAGAGTTGGACCTGTGCCACTGCCTGACTGTTGTTAGTGGCAGTGCCCACATCTTTTGCTGTAAGGTTGTAGCGACTCCTAATGACTGAGGGGGTGACACCCAATTGATAGCCTAATGCTGACTGTCTTGCTCCTTCCCAGCCTTTACTGATATCCTTTCCTTTTGGTGGAAAACGGTGAACACCACCCACTAAAAAGATAAAAAAAAAAAAAAAAAGACTTCATGTGAGAGTGATTACTTCATAGATTTTCCATTAGAAATGTATTTACTTTATTTTATCCACCTTTACGAGGTCAAAATAATGCATGTAATTACAATTACTGAAAAGCAAAATACTGTATTGTTGAATGAAAATTATTAAGTCTGTAAGATCAGACATACGATTTAAAAAAAAATCTTTAGACAAAATCTTTAAAATCTAAAAATAAACAAATAAATAAATAAAGGTTGCAAAAAGTACACATTAGGTTTTTATGGCCCATATAGTAAGAATACGGAGCTCATACTCAAAGAGGGAAAAAAAGCCTAAATTTTACTCAGATGCCAGTAAAACTGAGCAAAAGATGCTAAAATTCTGATAGCCTGTAATG